CCACGTCCCTCCTCCCCCTCCTCCCGCCCCTCTTCCTTCTCAGGAGGCCTGTGAGGATGAAATACAAGACCAGTACCCCCTCAGATGTACTCCACCCATATGGCCTCATTTCACAGCCCCAGCGCCCCATGAACTGGCTGTGGGGAGGGGTCGAGCCGCCTTTGCAGCCGAGCAATCAGGGCTGGGGGGTGGCTGTTGTCATGATTCTTCACCACCACCCGTTCCGGCTACCCAGCTCCTGGGCTCTGTGTGCTCCCCTGGTTACCTTGTCTTCTGCCTCGGTTGGGTCTTGTTGTTTTCATTTCAGAATGCTACAACCCGTATTTATTTCGCCACGTGATCCTTTCCCACTCTCCTTTTCTTGACTCCTTCAAGTAATTGAGGTCCTGCTTCATGTCTAGTATTAACTTAGATGTTTCTCAGGGAAAAAATATTGTTAAGACAGGATCTGTGACCTTGATGACCTTATATAGTCACATTTTACTGTATTAGGTTCAGAAGTCAGTGCTAAGGTCAACGGTGAACAAAGTCAAAAATATTGCGGGAAAATCCCTTAGGTCACCTGGGAGCAACCAATTCAGAAAATCGAACCATTGAAAAGCTTTAATTCTGGGAATATTTAAACACATGGCATAAAATTGTAATTTATAGGCTTTTCCTATTTGTCATCATAAATTAATACAAGGATAAATTTATGGGTTTTGTTGTCTTTAGTATTATAAATTTTGCTGTGGCCTTCATTTCATACTTGAGTTTCTTCTTTGAGAATGTTGAGGAGGCTGTCACCATTTGAGTGGCTACCTGGACATCACTCTCTGCTTGGTGGACTGGTAAATCCTTAGAATCTTCTGCGGTCTCTCCAGTCTGCACTGGTCTGTCTGTCCTGGCATTGATGAAAACGACACTAGCATTTTCAGGACTCCCATCTCATCCATTCCACAGCCCACTGATTGGGATGACTAATGATATTGAACATCATGTGCTTATTTGTTATTCTGTCTCTTCTTTGGTGAAGTTATCTGTTCAGATCTTTAACCCTGTCTTATTCAGTTGTCTTTTCCTTGAGTTGTGTTCTAGAGTAAAACATTTAAAAATTTAGGTAAAGTCTAATTTATCAATTTTTATTTTATGGATTATGCTATCTAAAACTCTTTGCCTAACCCAGATTTTCTTCTTGAAATTTTATAGATTTAGGTTTTACATTTTATTTCACCTTTTGTGTATGATCAAACATAGAATTATTCTGGGGAAGGCATGACAATGCCTGTGCCTTGTGTATGAGAATGATTCATGCAATCACAAAGTAGAGGGGAAGTTATTATCTGTTATTAATTAGTGGTGTAGTTTCACAAGCTTCAAAATAGTTTTGATGTTTCTCCATGTTAGCAGCAAAAACATTTAGAACATGAAAACTCTCATTAAGCATGAAAGAAACTTACAAAACCTGTGAATACTGGAACCATGTTTTTTGTTAATCCTCACATGAGAATATTTTTTCCATTGCAGAGAGAGGGTGGAAGGGGAGGGGGGGGGGATGTTGATTTGAGAGAGACACATTGACTGGTTGCCTCCTGCGTGCGCCCTGACTGGGGCAGGAAGTGAACCTGTAACTGAGGTACGTGCCCTTGACTGGGAATGGAACATGAGATCCTTCTGTGAGCAGGCCAGCGCTCTAACCATTGAGGACACCAGCTAGGGCTGGAACCATGTTTTAACTGGTATACTTTGGGATCTATGCAAAGTAGAGGTTCTTGACCCTAACCGTGTAGACCTTTAGATCGTATGTTTATGTTCACTTTTTGGGGGACAGGGTTTGTTCATAGCTTTTATCTGATTCCTAGTGGGACTTGGACCTCAGAGTTTAAAGATCACTGGTATAGGATGAGCACATTTCAGAACACAGGGGCTGTAATATGCTTGGTCTTTAAAGTGAAGAAGCAGGTGTCTCTTGAGGGCAGTCGCTTCCTCTCGAATGTTTTCTTCCAAGACCTACTTCCTCATTAACACCTCAGAGGCACGTAGTGTTGGGCTGCTTTTCATATAAAATGCCCTGCAAGGGGGATGAGGGCTTGAAATCAGGCAAAAACAATTCTAAGATTGTGGTTGGAAGGATTGAGGTTGGGCAGAGAAGGATGTAAGGAATTGACTTATCACAAAATGCCTCCATTGCAACTTAATTTGAAAAACTGTGCAGTCAGTCTTTTCTTTGGGGATTTAAAGTGCTTTGGTTCTCTGGTTGTTTTTTAAGGGTCGTATTTATCCCTTGTGGTGACAGGGAAGAAGAATGGGCTTTAAAAAAGTGTTCTGTGCTTGATTGAGAGGCTTGTCAGGGTATATGATATTGTTAAAGTGATGTTCTTCGTCTCTATATGAATACTAAAAAGTCAATGTGGTTGACTTTAAAGAAAAATTAGTGTGAAACGATTTAAATAAGATCACACACACACACAAGAAATCTCTCCTAATTTCACTGGCAGTTCATCAATCTCTCACATTTTATTTTTAAATCTCTGTGCTTTAATAGGCTATCTAAAATTTCCTGAACGTAAGGTTGTGCTAATAACATTATGATCAGACTGCATCTATGTATGCTTTTATTTCTTTAATCTACTATTTTAAGCACAAGTGAGATAATTTTGCTTAACTCTATGTTCTGTGCAACTATGTGGTTGATGCTTGTTTTTATTATAAACAATCCACCCAAGTTTGCAACAGTGGCTTCAAAAAATCCCTAATTGAAATAAATTTCAAGGTTAAGCTATTTTTACTCATGCCTGAAAACAATTAACAATACCTGTGGCTTTTAAAATAATAACAATGCAGTAAGCATATTTCAAAACCAGGAAGGCAGAAATTTGTGTTTGTGAGAGCCAAAAAAATTAGTCTTGCAATACTTTGGAATGTCCCTGGTAATTAATTATAGGTGATGTATATTATATGAAATCTCAAAGATTTTAGCAGGAGGAGGAAAAAAAAGGGACCTTACGTATTTCATTTCTGATATAATCCCTGTCACTCTCAAAGGGAATTAAAGTTAATAAAAAGGAATAACACAGAGGGATATAATCTAAAAATACTAATTAATAACTTTAGTTCTACCCGAGTGAGATTCTGTAATAAATAGTAGGCTGTCAGTTGCTAAATCACGAAATATTGCAGAGAAGGAAAAGGCAGCATACTCTTTCACAAGGTGGCTCTTTATATTAAAACTGTTAGTGGTAGGGAAGTTTTGTACTTGTTAATCATTTGTGTTTTTACATCGATGTTTGTAATTACAATTAAACAGATGGTTCCTAAAAAGATAGTGTGTTCTTAGCAATTAAAACCATGGCAAGCAGCTTTTCCTCTCCCCCAACATGCAATTAAACTGAATAGACTCAGACCCTGCGGGTCCTTCAGAAGAAAGATTCTGTGCAGATTCAAGTAGATTAGTATCCTGTTCCCCAGCCCTGTCATCTCGACCCCTGCAAACTGAGAGCTTTGCAGCTGGTAGAGGACTTCCAAACATGGATTGTAGGAAGTAGTTCCCCCTTCTCTCTCTCTCTCTCTCTCTCTCTGTTTTTATTCTTAGACAACCGATGTTGACATGTTTGTTTGGGAAAAAAGTTATTTGATTCTTTGATTCTAGAGATTTTTATCTAAAAAATATAGAATTTACTTTGGGCTCTAGGGAAACCAAGTTCTCACCTTATTTACAATTCTGGTTGCAACAAATTAAGTTTAGGAGATTTTTTTCAACAAGGATTCAGCACCCCATGAAATATTTCAACAGCGGTTATATGGCTTTGTGGCCGGTGGTGCCTCCCTTGAACCAGACCCCAGCAGTGTTAATGGATCTCCCCCAGAGTGGTGGAGTTGGAGCCTCCACCACTTTGGAAATAAGGGTTTGTTTGCATGAGCATAAATAGGTCCAAGTATGCTTTCAATGATTTTTAGGTACAGGCTTTTGTGCCCACAAGTAAGGTATAATTAACCATCTGCACCTTATTATGAGGGTGCAGCTGGCTAATTATGCCCAGTGCCATAGGGCAGGTTAAACTTCTCATCTGCATAAGAAGTGGATTTGCAGCAAAGGACATTGACCTTTATAAATGAGTCCCTAAGTTTAATCAGTTTGAGGTCACTCCTTATGGATTTTTGTTTTGTTTTGTTCAGAAGTGAAATATATGTATGAGTAATGGTATTTCTGTTTGTAATTAATACAGAATCATAGGGCAGACTTATATTATTATGAGTCAGGGACAAATAAGATCCCTGCTGAGTTCAAATTATTTGGGTCCCTCAATTTGGAAAAGTGGTACATCACTATGGATGTATATG